ACACATTTTGATGCTTTGAGAGAAACCTTGGCAGATCGCAGACGATCAAACACTGTAGCTAAATCCTGAATATGTTGTTCAAACGTGGAATTAAATACTACTATGTCATCCATATACGCTAAAGTCCTGTCCGATGGAAGGCCAGCGAGGCACATATCCATCATGCGCTGGTATGATGCCCCTGCATTGGAGAGTCCAAATGGCATCACGTTGAACTCGAATTTACCGTTTGGTGAAGAAAACGCAGTTTTTTCTTTGTCGCTTTCCACTAACGGAATAGACCAATAAGCAGATGCTGCATCTAATGTAGACCAATATCGGGCTCCTGCCATTTTGTCGATGACGTCCTTGATGTGAGGTAAGGGGTAAGTGTCCCTTTTTGTAACATCGTTTACGCCACGAAAATCGCATACGAACCGAATACTGTTATCTTTCTTCTTTACTAACAACACCGGAGCATTCCATGGCGAGGCTGACGGACGAATAATTCCATTGGACAGCATTTCGGAAACTTGTTGCTTCAATTCATCTTGCCAAGCAACCGGAACTCTATGTTGTTTGCGGTTGACGGGTAAAGCATCATTAGTAATAATTCGATGTTTAACGAGTGGTGTTTGTTGAGGCTTTTTTGTGTTAGCAGCAAAAACATCTTGGTAATCCATTAGCAATTGTTCAAGTTGTGACTTTTCCTGGGCAGACAGTTTTGAGTTTATGTCAACATCATCAATTTTAAAACTGGAGGCCCTGCTTTCTATGTTGGCTGAGGAAATAGTCTCTCCGGCTGGTTGTAAGGTACCCATCGTAGTTTGAGATTTAAGAACCACATCACACGATGAGACATTCAATGCAGTAATACAAAATATGCCATCAATGTTGGGTACAACGCGAGATCTAGTAATATATAAGCCACGTGACTTTGGCAGTCGATTTGGTTCAAAATCTCCAGTCAACATAAAGTTATCGGTGGTAGACTCCACTGAGAGAACCTTTTCTGAACGAGCAGGGATAGTGGTGTCCTCACATAACCGGACACTGGCGTTCTGAGTTGATAAGCAAGAGATAGATGTAGGTCCTAGTTGTATTTTGTTTTGAGCAAAATCAAATTTGACTGAGCCAAAGAGGCGCATGAAGTCCCTGCCAAGTAGGATATTTGTGTAATTAATTGAGTCTAGAACTTGAAAAACATGTTTGCGGGGTGGCAGGTTAGAAATTTGGACGTTGAGAGTGACAGCACCCAATATTTTCATTTTTTCACCCGAAGCATTAATCAGAGTTTTCAGCGAACTATTATCTATTTCACTGTCCAAACCGATTTTCTTGAGAGTTCCTAAGTCAATAATTGATGTGCCAGAGCCCGTATCTAACATAACATGAGTGTTTACAGTTTGTATCTTTGCAACAATAACGACTAAACATGGGTCTTCTGATTGAAAAATATCGGCACTGGCGGTTAGTCACTGATAGTTTGGGCAGGATGGGTTCCAGCTGTCATGGCCTTGTTGGCCGCAGGCCTGACAAAATCGAGTTGGACAACTTGCAACAAAATGATCAACGCTTTTGCATGACCTGCATTTGTTCTGTTGTGAGGGGGTGTTGTTACCACGAAAGTTTCCAGTGAATCGTGAACCACGGCCCTGACCCCGATTACGGTTTTGAAAACGGCGACCAAAAGGGGTCCCGCGGCCCCTATGAAATGGTTGATTGGATGTGTAATTTACGCCACTCGCTGATGAATTGTTACCCCCGGATTGATCATCCGTTGTCATCGCATTCAATTTTTCAACAACTTTATCAGCTATTTTATCAATAACCGTGGGATGTATTTGTTCATCGCCACTGTCAATACTAATTGCATTAGCTGAATGGCATTTTGCAATTGTCATGTTTGACTTAACACCAGCTAATTCTAAGCGTACGGTTTCCGCTGCTAGGGCTTTAACATCACATGATTGGAATTTTTCCATGGCCTTCAAGGCAGAACGCATGTCAGGGACATGTCCAAGAACAAAATAATCCTTAGCTAGAATTGCGCGAGCTGAGTCGTCAAAGCCTGGGTATGCCAGTTTAATCAATTCCATTATTTTGTAGGAGTATGTTAGAGCAGACTCACCTTGTAGACGATTTCTATTAGACAGTTCAAAGATTGCTTCTTCACGATTTAATTGGCCTTTCTCAAATTCTTTGAGAAGCTCCCCCTTCATTTGATCGAAATCTTTTCGTTCTTCTGCAGATAAACGAAGGTAAACATCGAAGGCAGGCCCCTCTAATCTGCTTGCCAAATTCTGAGCTTTTTTCTCTCCTGTAAATCCTTTCAGGGCTGAATGTAATTCTACCTTAGTCACAAATTCCGTAAGATTCCCTTGGCCGTTGAAACTTTTTATTTTGTTTTCCATTTTGATTATAGCTGAGATAGATTCTGTGATAGAAATGTAGCCAGAGTCGAAACTCAATAAGAGAATACTTCTAGTGGTTACTTGTATGAGATCTATCACAGAATAACCAAAACACAACAAAACAGAATTATATACAAAGGTGGATATTACGTAATGTTCTTAAGCGAATACCGGGGGTAGATGTAATGCAATAACTATACTCCCTAACAAAGGTCCTAGGCAATTTGCATGAGATTTATTTTTAATAATTATGACCCATCGGTTGGATTTTGAATTGACACGTTTTCCCTCGTGTTAGAAAAACAAGAGTAGATTTTATCAGCTAATGAACCGTGCTACTAAAAATGTCATGCAAAACTGTTATTCAGTGGACTTAGAATGTATTCTTAGTATTCTTAGGAGTGTAGTTTAGTCCCCTTGCAGCTTAGATTTGCCTTCGCAGTTGTACGAATGCCTTACGGATTTCTCCTCCGCAGTTTAGATTTGCCCTCGCAGTAGTATGTATGCCTTACGGATTTCTCCTCCGCAGTTTGGATTTGCCCTCGCTGTAGTACGAATGCCTTACGGATTTAACAAAAATAGACTTTTGGGAAGTCTAGGCAAAACAAGTTACCAATGCAGCCAGCAGTATAAATCAAAATCCAAATACCCAGCAAAGTAAACAAGCAACAACCCTCAGCAAATGATTTGATCTCTCAACGCTTTGTTAATATATATTATTAGATATTAGAGATATTTGCATACTCTCATATTATTCAAAGTATCCTTCTATGTTAAGTTTAAAAGCCTAACGATCGAAACCAATAGCAAAAAACTCTGGATTAACATTTTAAAATTTAATTCCGAAAAAAATGCTTGTCACCTCCGGTAAAACAAATTTTGTTGCATTTTTGTAATATTGTAATATATCAATAGAAATGACCAAAAGTCTTGAATATTTAGGAATAGATATGGTAACTCTGCTAATGAATGAAATATATATGAGAATGGAGATATTCCAGATGATCTATGTAAATCAATTTTCATTGCCTTACCTAAAAAACCAGGTACTACCGAATGTAAATTACATCGTACACCTGATGAGCCACATTACGAAAATTCTAAGCGGCTTTGCGAGTTAGAGGATAATTAAGTCCCTTCACTGACATTAAAAGAGGAGTTAGACAAGAATGTGTTATGTCTCCTGCATTATTCAATATTCACAGTGAATTGATTTTGAGGGAAATCATAGAAGGAATCCGAGCAGGGGGCTGCAACATGAATAACTTAAAGTATGCAGACGATACAGTTTTGATAAGTGACTCTCAAGGAGGGCTCCAAGCCCTGGTCAACCGAGTTGGAACAGGAAGTGAAAAGAAATGTCTTTCGTTTAATGTTAAAAAACTGCGTGCATGCTAATTACCAAAAAGAGCAACAACACTATTATTGATCTAAGGTACAAAGGAATGAGCATCAAACAAGTCCATAAATGTAAATATCTAGGATATGGAATAACATCAGATGGTAGATGGCATACGGAAATCATATATCGAATAGCATTAGCAAAAGCACCTTCATAAAGATGTCTCCACTACGTGTTAAGGTGCTATGTGTGGCCATGTTCTTAAAAAATGCGGGGCTAAAATCGAATAAAAAGAGGTTTTACTGGTGGCTTACTTCTTAATAATTACTTCTTATCCTTGCACAAACCCTTTAATAGCTCTAGACGACCCAGAAACCGGACTCACTGCATATCGGATTCGCTGCACCGTATCAGATTGTGTTCATACCAGATAGGGCACAAGTTTACACGACATTGGTTACTCCGTACTGCAGGGTGCAGTCTTTTGTTCCAGAGCCTTTGTGTTCCTATTTTAGGCACGCCTAAAATCTCCTGCCACACGATTGAACTGAAGCAGAGAAAATTGGTAGGGGCGGGAGAAAAAGTAAAGGAAGACGTTTTGGCTTGAAAATTTCGTTTTAGCCGATGTGAGTTTTCTCCAAAGCCTATTTAAAGTTTTGCAATAAATTGAAATCAGATCAATAAGATGGGTAGTAATCTGAAAAATGCGTGTAAGTGCTATCTTTGTGGTAAGAACAAACTCCATTTCATCAGCATCCATTTTGTTTTCTTCTTTGATGAAACGAAAAGTTGTTGAAAAAGTGCGCTAAACATGGAGTCGAGACCTTAGAGCTTGTAACTGAAATTGCGGAGCAAGTTGATACCAGATTCAAGCGTTTACACGAGTGCTCTGCTCAATTCCAATGCATACCGGATTCGCTTGAAACCACTTTCGAAGCGGAGTGATTTCACTCTTAAAAAGTGGAAAGAAAGCAACTCGGCTTGGGTCCTTATCATGTGAACAGAATGCCTATCTTGTATGAAACTAACCCGATATGAAGTGAATCCGGTATTGTGCAAACGGAGCCTAACAGTTGAAAAATAAATGTGGATCTGCCACAATCTCCACCTACCCCCTGTAGCACCACCCTTGTGTATACCTATTCCTTGATCTGAATGGATTATCGTACAAATAATTACGATGTTCACCGTTCATGTTGGAATGTATGTTTAACATGTGGTTGTTTGGTTGAAAGGTCTAGTTTGTTGTACTGTTGACTTTTCAGGATGTCAACTGAGAATGCTGAAAACCTTTCTGTTCAATCGTTTGCTGCAGTTGAAAGACAGACAACGCTTCCCAAGGCTAAAACCGCTGATATCCAAGGTATGTTGATGATGTCATCAAATAACAGGATTGCCAGTAATTTTCAGATCTAAAAGTTGAGATTTTATTCTACCTTCTCTTCTCCTGGTTTTTGTGTAGGCGCGCACGATGCCTAAAGACCGGTTTTCACTTGCTTCGCTCTGGTCGCGCGACTTGGCGAAAACGAATCAGAAAAAGAAATACAACGTGTTTACTCCCAGTTGGGAAAAATGTTTGCATGGAGATGCGACCGATCGATTATAAAACATGGATGACATTTAGTAACATTTTACCAGATCAAAAACTTTCTAAGCAGACATATCATTCAGTGCAGGGCCATCGCTGCATGTCTTGCTGAAATCCCAACGGTATGAGGGTACATTTCCAATTCTTTATCATTTTCCTTGCATTTACCGACAGCTATTAAAAGTTCAATTGTTTGTGAACATTTAATGCAATTTTGCGTATTGATGCAAACCAGTTTTGTCGCAAATCGGTTAAGGCAGAATGTTCGGCCGTTGGTTTCGCGAAAACCCGATGTTATATCTGAACGTGAGAAATTTTTTATGCTTCTTGCCTTTCCATTTTTTGCATATGTTGAAAGCAGCAGTCTTTATGCATTCATTCATGCTAGCAATTTAACGATAGCTTTTTACCATAATTGTGATAAAACATTTTTTCTAGAGACTATTCATTCGTGAATTCTTTTGTTTTGGTCGCTCCCTTCGAATATAAGGAAAACAAAACTGCGTGATATTAAAACTTTTCGCACTTCTAGTAAACGATTTTTAGAAAGAATCCACTTATATCATTCGAAAGCTTAAGAAAAACTGTGCTTACCATATTTCGCTACCCTATGAGGCCAAGCTTTATTTTTGAGATACAACTCATTTAAAAAGTACCTGGTTCACTGCATCGTTATGGGCCAGTGATGTTGTCTTTCCAGCTTTAAGCAATAAGTATTTGAAGCTGCTAGTTTCCCACAAATATATTGACTGGTGTTAAAAGATAAATTATTCTTGCTTCTGTTGATGTACTGAGAATTCTATTAATTTTGAACGTAAACCAAAGTAAAGCATTTTAGTCGTTAATATAACCTTGCATTTAGATTCTCGTCTCTACGCGTCGCAGACGCAGCGCAGCATCACACTGCACATGAAAATTAGCCGCCATTTTTGCCTATTACAATTTTTCCCCGTGCTCCAATGATCTAATCCCTGAACTTCAATCCGAGGTTAGTACAAATTGTTTACATTAAATACCAAAAAATTCAGTTCCAAAAATTTCAGTGGATTAATTTTTCGGTGGAATAAATGTCGGTTATATATTTGAAATTTCAGTGTAAATTTCAATGAAAATTTCAAGATTTTCTTTTAAAAGAAAACATTTTGGCGAGTAAAGAAATGAAATACTTTCTGCAAGTTATTTCTATCTTCAACATTAAATTATCTGGAACGCAATCATGAAAGTTACAAAAATCGAATATTTTGATGCCAGCCCCATAAATAAAACTAAACTGAAGCCACCTAACTTGCAGGAATTTGAATTGTGAAGAAACATCTTCGTCATCATATCATTTGTTTAAGCTTGATATCGTGCCGCTTAATGGCTGCGGTGTGGCCTTGATTTTTCATATGATTGCAACAGCTGGGTTCAATGGGATGAATGTCGTTTAATTGCACATTCCCTATTCCAAAACCCTAATTACAACAACGTTAAATTTGTTACGTTGCATGTCAAACTTTCTCTTTTATATGCAAAGAATGGTAGGGTTGGGAGCAGTGGCGTAACACAGTTCAGGGACTTTTGTTCGATAACTGAGGGTCCCGGTCTGACCAAATGGTGCCCCAATTTATTTACATATCCACGTTTTTCGACTTTGTTCGAATTCACCTTTTTTTAAAAAAGGTCCAAAAGTTCTTCAACTGAAGCTTCTATAACCCAGCAAACCCTAGTAACCAGAAAAAAAAATAGATTTGCCCATTTGTATCCGATATGCTCTACACTCTGCGATAGGACTTTCTTGCAATCGGTAAATAGGGGCCCTGTCTCAGTTTTTCCTTGGGTCCCAGCTAAACAAACATGTCTATCCATAGTTGCAAAAGGCAATCCAGTCGAAGCTCTTCCAGCATTTAAGTTCAACATGCCCCGATTATGTCCAACATGTCAAATAACATCGAGTAGCAGCAAACATGTTTATACCAACATAGCTTTGGCGCATTTGCAGTGAATTCCAACTCACTTAGATATTAGCACAAAGGATGTGGCAAAACTTGGGAAAATCCACTAATGACCTTATAAAATAAGCAAACATCAGCAAACTAAATAGCATGTTAAATGAAATAATTGAAAGCTCTTGAAATGCCTATTCACATAAGACATACAATTGCTGCATTGTGCAATTTATTTTGAATAAATGGCGGATTTATGACTGTTTTTGACGTTATCGATGACGTCATCAATCACGTGAAACTGAGGCCAAATTTTTTCGGCCCCATCTTGTATTCTGAAACTCCATACTCGACAGTATATAAAACCATCGAGATCATCTCGGTAAGGCGAGAAATAAGATTTCTACAGCATGGCCTGCCTGTTTTACTTCTGCGGCTTTTGCATAGAGGATAACAGGCCATAAGCATGTTCCCGTTTCGTAATTATGTTCATTATCATTAACCATGGTCATCAACAGCAACCAAAATAACAAAAATAACGATCATAATTACTACTTCATCATTTCTACGTCACCATCGTGTTTGTCGTAGTCGTCATCACCTACATAATCATCATCATCATCATCATCATCATCATCATAATCATCTCGTGATTATTATAATTACTCGTACCTTGTAATCTTGCAGTTCGTACCTTGAAACAGCTGTGCTATTTTTTCCATTACAGTTGATGTGGAAAAGTGTCGACATTTGCTCTCAGACACAGGACATAACGAGCGTGTTAGCTTGGCCCTAAAACTTGACGGAGAGAAGTCGGCCATAAAATTAATGAGAAGTTGTCTAGAGTCAAATGACTTCCATAGCGTCTGGAAATCTTGTCATGGATACCAGAATGCTGCCCTTGGATTCCTGATGTACATTGCTTCAGCACAACAAAATGCTACTCTAAGGTATCTTAAATCTCTCACGAGTAATCGGTTTAAACAGCTGAGAGAAGAAATAGATAAAGCTGTAACAGCCGGGGTACAACTTGATACCAGATTATATGATATCCCATTCGAGTGGCTTGACAAGTTTGCGTCAGTTATCTCACGCGCTGAAATGCCGGAAAACCAATATTTGCAGCCGACTTGGCAATTTTTGGCAGGGAACGCTGGACTTGACCAAACAACAATTAACAATTTAGAAGCACCCGCCGTCGCACGTAAAGACTTGACGCTAGGACTGATAATATTCCTTACACAGTCCGCACCCAGCACTACTGTGGCTTGGCTTGCCATTCATCTAAAAGAGATTGGAATGAATAATGTCCTACTGAAAGAGAACATGTTCAATAAGTGCTTTGAAGAACACTGCATAAGAAGTGTGGAAAAAGAGAATACGGATGGGTTTGAAGAGTTTAATGGTGACTTGTGCTAGTTTCAGCCATAACTGTCTTTCTGTAGTTATTTTTTCCGATTTTTCCTGTTTTAAGCAACTTTAGTGTATGTATCACAATGACATTAAGTTTTATATTATTGATATTCTATTGACGTGGCTTTTTGAGACAGGTTTGACTGCAAAGATTTTCCCCACAATTGTTGCAAGTAACAGCTGTTTCTGTTTTTCGAAAATCATTGATAATTGCCTCGAAAAAGTTAGCACTACTTACAGACGAAGTCTGGTGGCTATCTAAATTCCTATTGGATGCATTTTACAGTAGGCTATTGTTAATTTTGCATCGGCAACTCGAAAGAACACGAGCCTCAAAGATTGGTTAAAAGTTAAGAACAAATTAAGAACAAGCTGAGGCTGAGCTACTGTGATATGAAATTTTTAGCAACGTTTTATCTCAAAAACGAAGATGCAAAATTGACACTCTTTAGAGTTTAAAGCGTCAGAACATACACTTACGTTCAAAAAATATTGGGACACACTTCGAAATTTCGAAGACATTTTATGCAACAAACTTGGAAAGACTTTTTTAAAATCTTTCTCATTAAATAAGTACAGCAGCTATTTCCATGAAACTTTTACAATACATTGTTGATGTTTTGACGCATTTTATGTACGCCAAACAATTAAAAAAACATCGACCATAAAATTTCTATAGGCCTTGAGACGAAAACCTGGAGGCTCTTGAAATTCAAGAACTGAGTTAAGAGAAGCGCTTACAAATTGCTTTCTACTAAAATAAAGCAAATGAATTTCGTTAAATTGCATCAATTGTCGGTTGCTCAATGAGTGCAGCTTTTCTGGTGTGTAAAAAGATTTTCCGTACAAGATCAGAAAAAAATTTACCAAGGGATGGCAGACCGAAGAAGTTTACGACGCCGTGGGACGAAAGATCTTTACTGATCTGGGAACTGCGAAGTAATAGGTTTGAATCCTTACTAGAAATTGTGTTGTCATGTAAAAAGAAGCTAAATGTTGGAACATAAGCAAAAATATGGCTATAAAAATCATGAAAAAATACAAATTTTTCAGCTTTATAGGAAAAAAATGCTCTCTCATAACAAAAATTAAACATCGCTGACGAATACAATGGATTCTCCTTGAATGTTACGCAGTTTCAAAATGGACTCGAGTAAATGCAATAATTTAATAAATTTGTAGCATTTTCGTTGATGTAGCAAACTTTATTTGAAGAATAAAATTTTGATTTTGTAATTTCTTTTATAAATTTCTTTGTTATGCAAACGTGAAATTAAAAAGTTGAATTTGTTTGGACATCTCTAAAATTTTGTGAAGGTCATGTGACTTTGCTGTTATTAGGCCATTCAACCCTTCTGAATATTTTGTTGTTATATTCAGGAAAATCTTAAGAATCCTATGTTTTCAAGGTTATAATTTATAAGTTGAAGCATTTTCTTAACTTTTTATTCCACTTTGGGGATACGTAGGCCTAGATTATTTGGAGAAAGACTACCCAAATCTGAAAAAGTTTCCGTTGCAAAACCGAATCCAACGCAACGCCATAATTCGTTTATCGAATTTGTCCCAATACTTTTTGAACGTAAGTGTAGATTGAAAACTCTACGCTAGAAAATACATATACCCACTTTCGATCCATAACTGGGTTTTTATATTTCCTAGCGTAGAATTTTCGACCTATGTACTGACGTTTTAAACTCTGAAGAGTGTCAGACGAAAAGCTTTAGTTTACTCAGATGCTTGCCTTTTCTCAAAGCCATTTTCAAGTTTTGTAACACCAAAAGATTGTTTCCAAAGTTTAGCTTCGAAAATGTTTAACTTCTGCCAGGCATTAATTTAAGGAATTTCATCACTGCACAAAAAAAACGTAGGTTTTGATTTAACCTCTTTTTGACGGACCAACAATGTTTACATTGTTTTCAGGGACTTTTCAGTGTAATTTGGCCTAGCTACAGCTACCACTGATTATGTATAAATCTTACCAGAACATATCAAACCTGGCAAAAAGAAAACAGAGTAGCAAACCTAATAACAGGGAATTTTTTCTTCATTTCCACCCTATGGAGTCAATATAGTATTTATTTGTGAATGGTGGAAATGGAGTGGAATGCAATTACTGTGTTTGTAAGTTATTGATTGATCCTTAAAAGGCAAATCAACTGTTTCTCGCTGTTTCTTTTCATAAGATGCTGTTTTCAGACACTTGATCTCTAATCATGTTACATATTTCAATGTTCTAAAAACTGTCCAAAGCACAGCCTTACTGTATATTACTTACTTTTTATGTAATATGAGGTTCGTTTATATAATACAAATCCGTAACTGCTACTAATCTTTCAAAACTATACCTGGCTAGCTTTATGGATACCCAAACAAAAAAAATGTTCATCCAAATATAAAACAAAGATAGAAATGGTATTCATTCCAATTATTGTGGCGTATTGTATTTCATACAAAAGAAGAGAAGCAGGCCATCATTTGATGGTGGTAGTGGTATTGGGTCTTTATGGCCATGCAATGCAAGAAATCCAAAGTTGTCGGAGGCCCTAGGATTATCTGACAGAAGAAGCTTAACAGCAGGAAATTTTGTGTCCACACCCGTTATATTATCTTAAAATATATTTCTGAATATTTCTAGCAGGTATTTTCAAGGCATTGCAGGTATTTTTTTCACGGCATGCTTTTATTACATTTGATCAATTCCAGTCTTAAGATTTACATAATTACTTTATAAGAACCCACAGACCTTGGCTTATTCCTTGGAATCTTAGCAATAACAGGATTTATTGCACTATTCTTTTTATCTATTTCTTTTCCAGTATTCTTTCTATTTTCTTAAAAAACACTTTTTGCATTATGAAGTGTGTTTGTGATTAACTGTATATTATTTTTATTGTTAAAGCTGGTTTTATTTTAGTTGAGTTTCACACGTAGGTTGAATATATTATTTTAGTTGACTCTTGATTATAGTTTGTATTCATTTGTCTTTATTCTAAAAACATCCAAATCAGTAGTAGTTGGAGTATTTCAAAAGTGAAGAAATTCATCACTGCACATTTTTCAATTCATCACTTCACATTTTCGATTCATCACTGCACAAATTGGTCACCACTGCACCTTAAATTAATCCTTGACTTCTGCAGATATATAAGAGATCACTCACAACCTTGAGGAGGGCTAATCAACGGGAGCCGATAGCATTCCCTCAAAAGTTCTTTGAATAGCACTAAACGTTGTCTCTGCGCCACTAGCTGAAATATTTAATCGCTTTCATTTTAACTAAACTTTTCCCCTTCGTTTGAAAATGGCTAATATGTGCCGTTTTGAAAATAGTGGTAAAGGTAGAAAAGAGAACTATAGGCCAACAAGTGGGCTCCTTTCAGCTTCAAAAATATTTGAAGACCATGTTACATCTAAATTCTAATCAAATCCGCAAACTCATTAATGTAAAACTGTTCCCCCTTTCTTTGTGGGCCCATTAAAGATCATAACATTTAGCACGTCATATCAAGACTTATCGAAGGCCTGGAAAAGTGCCTGAATAAAAAAGATGTTGCTGGTGCAGTGCTAAGGGCAGGGAGTTACTCAAGGATCAATCTTTGGCCCGTTTCTTTTCAACTTTTATAAAAACGACATTTTATTCATTTAAACAAAAGCAGCCTATGCAACTATGCAGAAGACAATATAATTTTGCTGTCATTTACTGATATAAATTAATTAACTGAACAACTTAAAATCGAAAGCAGCTATTCTTAATAAATGGTTTTATGAATTGTTTTGTTGCTTAACGGTGACAAAAGCAAGCTTATAATCTTGAACGCAACCGATCAAATTTTGAGGAATCTAAAATTGAAATCAATGGTTCTACTATTATAAATATAAGAGTGTAATGAAGTATGGGAAATAGGTGAACGCTTAACTAGGATTGCTTTGTATAATGATATTTCTAAGCGAATTCTTTCAGTGCAAAAGTTTATTTATCATATTTTAATTTTTGTCCTCTTATTTGAATGGTTTGCAGTAGGAGAAGTAATAATAGCCATACAAACAGGATTCATGAAACGGCAATGAGAATAGCTTGTGATGATTATGAATCAACTTTTAAACAATTTTTAATAAAGAATAAAGCAACAACTTTTCATAAGAAAAATTTACAATATTTTGCGAGAGAAATGTATGAATCCATCTTTTATGGATGAAATACTTTCCATGAACGAACGCCTTATAATTATTGAAACTTTACACTTAAAACAGCAGAACCACATTTCAAAATGTTTGGATTTAATACAGTGTCATGTAGATATAGCTCAAAATGGAACTCAATACCTTATGAGATAAACTATTCCCCAAAATCGCAAAAATTCAGAAAGAAATCTCAGAGTTTTCTTCATTCAATTGTACTTGTGACCTTTGCAAGTAATACATAAGGAACATTGGTTAGGTTAGGTATGTTTGTTAGGGCTCCAATACAGCACTGTAAAAATAATTACTTTAATCAGAGGAAATTCACGTGCCATGCGTTCGTCCAGGACTGGGAGTGAAATAATGGGCAGAAACTAGATGTTGGGTGCCATAAGAATCGCCCTAGGACCAATCTGTACAGATCACGGCCATCTTTATCATAGAGATCATTTCGATAATGCATATACACTTCCAGCAAGAAAGAACATGTTTGTTTAACAATTGTTCTGCAATAAATTTTCCTAAAGAGGAATGGATAATGTTTATTGGCGCTAGTTATCAATCGAAATCAATCCGCAGCAAAAACATTTGCGCTAGTTTTTTAAATACAGATTGCTTGACAATTGGACAGATAAAGCCCCTACATGAGCATTCGGAAGCAAAAGTTTTGTAAAGTGCTAAACATATACATTGTGCTAAACACTTTTACTGAAAATAATTTGAGATGTAAATTTAAAAGAATGAAGCTAGCTGAGAATTTTCAATAAAAATCTAAATGAAATTTCTGAAAAAAAGTTTTTTGTTATGACTATCGGAATTTTCCTCTAAGATTAGCAAACAATTTCGACCTCAATTAACAATCTAAAAGGTTAATTAACAATTATAGACCAGGTTTATTTTGAGGTTGGTGCCACCTGAATGCGAAGAAATTGCCGTGGTTATGCTCAAGTACCCAGATATGAAGGGGTTCAGAAAAGGAGAAAAATGATGGTGAATGGTGATCTGTTGGGACATAAAGGGTGAAAACGGGGGTGAAAACGGGGGTGAAAACGGGGGTGAAACAGTTAGCACTCAGGCGGAGGAGAGAATGAAATATTTCCTTTCGGATATAACATTATTTGCTCCATAAAAGCTGGTAAAACCCTTTTCGAGCACATTTAGTTGAAAACCGATCCTTAGTTGTAATTAAAAAGGGTTACATGATCACACTTTACCTTTGACCTTATAAGGAAGTCTTGGCTTTATGTTACAATAAACCACAATAATACCTCTAATAGTATTTTAACAGCTTCAGTGACTATTACAAGTATAAAAAAAAATAGAAATTAAACCTTGTTGCTACTATTTCATGACATTCTTCGAATTTCTAGACCCTGATCTTTGATCTGTGATCTTTCTAAAACTTTGATCAAAACTGATATTGCAAATATGACAATGTATAATAAAAATTCAACGATTCACTTGATTAAATGATTAAATAATTATATTCTTGTATTAAAAATAATGTCAAAACGCTATACTTCTAGATTAGAAAACCGTTTGATTACAAATATTAAGAAAATTCCAAATTCATTATGATAGCAATTAAATACATTCCAAAAACATGTCAACGCAGTATAACGACACAGAAACTGACTAATGGGGAAAATGACTATCAAAAAACGGGAGATTCCTGCTCAAATAACGACTTTCTATAAAATAAGATATTAGTTGGCTTCGACAATTTTCTGTGGAATCGACGATCAAGTTATCAGCAAAGTCTGCTCATAAAATTTCAGATTTCCAGGCTAGTCAAACAAGGATCAGGCTTGCTCATGGAAATTTGAAAAATGTTAGAAATATCAAACGCTTGTTTTAAGAAAACATAAATCCTCTAAATATGGAACATAAAATTTTTCATTTTACGATATTTGCAAACTATTTTGATATAGTTTGAATGACTAAATTCTTGTGCTTTGAATGATACATAGGTTAATCCGATACCATGAATAGTCTGGCTTTTAGAAAGAAAAAACCAAATAATGTGTCAGAAACGTTTACCGTAACCGTAAGAGAACAGAAATCATCTAAACCCATACAAGGTATAATTACAAATCCAGAAAAGATGCTGAATAAACACCTGTCATAGAACTAAGCAATGGAACCTAGTAGCAACAAATCTATAGGCATTTTGATGTAGATATCGCAATGAATGTTTCGATTCATGGAGCGGTGATTAACAACAATCAGGTAGAGAAATATTTTGAGATTTGAGAAATTACATAACGCAATGCACGTTATTCACCTTTCTTGCCTAACATCTATGGTATCAGCCTGAAGGTGTCAATAATACAGGAACAAATGATAATCAGAATATGGCAAAGTTCATTACTCAGCGGAACGGAAATGTTAAATAGATTAAATAACAAAATATATAGAAATTCCTTGCTATGTTTCTGCAGTTGAGTTAAATTGTACTACTAAACAACCCGAGTCAATTGACAAATTTCTGCACGAAACGCAAAGGAAATGCTCCCGTTTCCCCACTTCTCTGGCATTTTCCAAAACCCCAATTTTCATCCACGTACTGTAAAACCTAGAAAATACAGAACAGATTCAAAGCTGTGATCTTGTTTGACAACATAGCAATAACTAAAGCCTATATTAATAGATTGTAGTAATCAAATGGAAGAATAATATTTGGAAGGTCTTTAACGACGTTAAAAATAGCCCTAAATGCTAGAAAACAGTCGTATCTATCAAAAATTGACTGAGAAATGACCCACGAACACCACCTTTTTGAACACAGCAAAACCAATTTTTAAGAAAATGATGAGGAAGTAAACACAAAACGATAGAAAACTTGCAATAAAATGTACACTTCTGATGCATTCTATAAAGGTTTTTAAGGCCTTATAATCAGGATTGAAATTTATAAAAATAGATTAAAGTGACGTCATCACTTAGCCAAATTATTCACAAAATGCAATACACCGATAAAAATTAATTTTAGTAATGGAAAAGATATGAAAAAGTCAGATACGAAGAAAAAACAGAAGGAAATAAAAAGATGCGAAATTCAATAAAGAAATTAAACAATGTAGAGGCAATAGCGACCAGAAGATGAAAAATGAAAGCAACCAACAAGATTTACCGAAGACTTAAAACAGTTCCGATGGTTTAAACTTAACCATCGGAACTGTTTTATACTGTGCATTCTTCTTCCTAAAAGTTATTCTATAAATGCCCAGAAGTTTTGCAATATCATTCTATAAAGATTAACGGGTGGAAAAATTTCTAGATACTTTTCAAATTCCTTGAAAGCTTCGAATTTGAAAGATCAACAGAAAGAATCAAACAATACTATGATCAACAACCTATCGACTGTGCTTCCATTAAATGCCTTATTTTGAGCAGACCACAACAGTTTTTCTACAATTGTAACCTTTTCTATCTAGATTATTTCAGTTGTGTCTCCGTATTTACCTGAAGTATATCTCCCTTTTTTAGGGTTAGTTCTTTCGGTGATTGGGCGTTGTAATCATAAGATGCTACCACAATAGATGGACTGCTCCTCTGTGTTATCACTTCCGGTCTGACCACAGAATACGCTGACTCTAAAAAGAAGAAACATTTTCTTGATCAACATACACAATTCTCTGTTTGGAATGCAAAAGTTACAACCACAAGAGTGTCATTTAGCAAAATTGATCAAGAAAATCAAATACGAAGCCAAATCATGGAAAACCAGAAAAAAATACCAAAGAGAAATCAACAACAGGTGTAAATGCCTGTTGAAAATCAGAGGCTCGACGAAAAAGGGGCATCATCTTGTATCACAGGGACGTGCAAAAGTTGCAATTTTCTGATAAAAGGTACGCCAAGAAAAAACATTAAAATTTGTGCAGGTTAAAGTTGAGGGGGAGTGATTGAGCCAATGGCCTCAGTTCTTTCCAGTTCCTGCTCTCTTTATGATACTGCTCCCTTCAAGGCATCTCGCGGACCAGTTATTACCCTGTATGCCAGAGAAAAAGAAACATGCTCAGTGAAAGAGTTAATTGGTGAAAGAATTGGTAACACCCTTGTTTGACCATCTGTTTCACTAAGGATCTGGTACCCAGGGTAACCTGTTATGAGCTTTCTTCGAAGTAATGAATACATACAGAAATAAATGAATGGAAAGATAAATTAATCATCGTACCTTCATCAGCATCCTCAGAGTCTACAAAAGCTGGAACTGAGGTTGTAGATGTCGAGAGCGAGACAGCCTTGGGCGTTATGTTTCTTCCCAATGAAAGAAACTTAGGCTTTATCTGATCAGAGCCTGCCACGTCTCTCTTCGATGGGTGGTAGTAGTTTTCATATTTAAGCGGAGCTTGAAAAATAATTACAGTTTTATTGATACTTAGTACACTGCCGTACAGCGTGATGCAGAACAGTAAACTCTCAATAACACAATAACTCAAAACCATATCTGTACTGGGAAAGTTGCTTTGCGAATATTACTTTGGGTAAAAACAATGAGACCAGTTAGTCTTTTAAACGCTCTAGCAACGTGACCAGTTAGTCTCTAAAACACTGTAACAATATGACCATTTAGTCTTTCAAGTGCTATAACAACCAGACCATATGGTCTCTCAAGTACTTTATCCACGTGTACTCTGTTACAATAAGAGTATTTCATGCGGGAAGCATTCCATAGCCTCTCTTCTGTGTGAGAATCTTTTTGGCTTTCTGGGGATCATTCTTAGGGTATGTGAACTAACTAGGACCCCAGTCCTTATTTGGTTTTGTGAGACCCCGCTTTGGCTTAATAGTACACTTATCAAACAAACAACCGTAAATTAAAAATAATTCAATACTGCCTTGCAAAATCGTGTAGATCTACACATCCTAATTAGAAAGGAAACCTTTTGACCTCTATGTTGGTAGCAAGGAGGTCCATTTTTTGTCTGTGTGGCCCAGATCTGAATATGATACGTAAATAAATCAGAGATTACTAAAATCGCAGTTTTGCAATGTTTGTAGACTACCATATATTTGATATTTTCGCAGAATGCCAAATCTTAAACTTGATCTTAAATTGTAGCATTTTCAAATATGTATTCTACTTTTTCTATTGGGAATCCAATATTGTCAGCAGATTTTAAAAGTGACGTGAAAACAAACCAGACAAGAACAGCGTGAGCATAGTTTCATGCAAAAATCTCAAGGCAAGACTGCTCTAGCAACAATGTATACCTTTCAAGGTTTGTTAAGATCTAATAGCAAAATTTTTACAAGCAAATGTATTAAAAAAGAAACAAAATCACCACAACTCGAACTTCCAATGAAAGGAAGAAAATTGTTTCATTAAGCAAATGTAAGATGTCAGAGTTGTCAGATGTTCAAACATCTAGAGGTAAGGTCAAAAGGAACGCAAAGATAATTCGGGTGATCAGGGGCTTAGGTGCGTTGGGGAAGGATAAAGTGGAATTTAGAAAAAGCTAAAGTTATTTTGCGTTTGATTTATCGGGAATTTGAGTTATCAAGGGTTCGAGGTATCGGGAGATCTAGGTATCGGGGATTCGGGTTATCGGGATCATACTTTCTCGAATAAAAATGATGTGAACTGCCAGACTTACATGGTATTTCAGAGCCAGTTTGCTTGCTATGAATAAACACGACTATATCTTTGCTATCATCACATTTTTCCAACTGAAGGCGCATATTTTCATACATCTAAAAAAGCAGTGCAAACGTTTACATCAGAAGTCTTTCATCAAATTTTTTTAACAAATAGAAAATCTCAAGAAACTTTTGCTGCAAATATGGCATTAAAGTCCTTTCAATCGATGTTTCCTCACAAAAAACCTCTTAAATAATTTTTTTTGCAACATTTAGCCATTTCTAAGAATAGTAAGTAAGAATAGCATTACATCACAGATAACTGTCTTCCCGTGCGAATGTTTCTCAATTGTTTACCTTGTCCTCATCCACGTTCATCTGAGAGCTGACGTTACAATAAAGCCATAATTCATTTCTTAAAAACCTGATACGCTCCTCTTCCATTGCCTGGAACCTCTGCGATGAAAATAAAGCTATAGACATGATACGAGATGAATCAATGATCGAGAAGAAAGGAGCGAAGAAGATATGAGCAACAGTATCCAGGCAAACCCAAATGAGGATAACTACGAGTTTAAGTAAATTGTTCCAGCAATAAATAATATGTTATTAAAAAATAAACTATAAATTATAGATTATAAACAGATTATTATTAATCATTATTAGATTTATTCATAGTACAATTAACTTAAATTCATAGTTATTTTTTATTATGTTGTACGGCACGGGATCTAGTATATAAACCTAAATGAGCGCAGGTTTCTTCCCCATCAAATGACTATTATTTTGTCTGAGTTCGAAGCGTTATGAAAGAAACTAAAGCAACAGTTGTCCTCTAGCAAAATTCCCCTGTTCATTGCCCAGTTAGAAAATATTTCACTGCTATGAACTTTTATAGGTGTATATGGCATTTTTCAAAAACTTTGGTTCAAATTAAGATCTGTAAAAATATAAGTTCACCACTCGAAAATTCTTACTTAGGCTATAGCATAAAAAAATATTTAAACGGGCACGCACGTCACAAGAAACTTGCATTTCCTGCTCCCAGATATCATGAATCTGTTTGAGAAGAAGAACGCTGCTTTGATACTGCTGATCTGCAAGAAAAGACGACACTTCACATCAAATAAGGAGATAGGTTTATGGACTTTAGGAAACATGAGCAAAGACTCTTTACTTCAAATCGCTGAAATTTTGACTTAGTAATCTAATTAAAACAACAATAATGCAAAAAAAACAACACACACACACTTTAGGCTTGACGTTTTTGTAGTTCTTTTGGTCGCTGCTTGATATGCAAACACGATAAAACACAACAGCAACATAAAGACAAAAATCAGCAAATTTAGTCTAACAAGAATACCTGCATTTTCCTGTGAACTTTTCGCCTTTGCCACTTTGCCTCTGTGCTACAAAAAGAGTTATGAATGGTTAGTTCCTCTTAAATAAAGTAACCTATAGCAGAAGTAAACGAACAAAAAGTATTCTAACAAAAAAATCATTTCTGTGCCAAACAGCGTATTATAACAACATTTTTATTCTCCTATTGAATAAGAGAAAAAGGGACTGTTCTCAAACATTGCATTTCAATTACAAGGCCACACATTCTAGTAATCTAACAAGAAAAAGCTTCAACACTGGGTTAGTCTAACCTTATCTAAATATAAACCTTACAGGTACTTATTGTAAAAACACTTCTTCAGGAATGTGCCAAACTGAGAATATGTCAGTGCCAGTCTAAAGAAAGGGCCAACCTTAATAAGCGCCAGTATTAGGGAAGCACAGGGTTTAAGAGAGAGCAAGTCTTCAGAAAGCACTAGGCTCAAGAAATAGCAAGCCTTGAGAAAGCTATAGATTTTGAAAAGACGACTCTTGAGAAAACGCAAGGCTCAAGAAGAAGCAAGCCTTGAGAAAGCAACGGACTTACAAAAAACCACCCTTGAGAAAGCGCCAGGCTTAAGAAAAAGCAAGCCTTGAGCAAGCAATAGACTTACAAAAAACCACCCTTAAGAAAGCACCAGGCATAAGAAAAAGCAATCCTTGAGAAAGCAATGGACTTAGAAAAGACCACCCTTGAGAAATCACCAGGCTTAAGAAAGAGCAAGCCTTCAGAAAGCAATGGACTTACAAAAAACCACCCTTGAGAAAGCGCCAGACATAAGAAAGAACAAACCTCGAGAAAGCAATGGACTTACAAAAAACCACCCTTGAGAAAGCGCCAGGCTTAAGAAAGAGCAAGCCTTGACAAAATCATAGACTTAGAAATAACAACTCTTGAGAAAGCGCCAGGCTTAAGAAAGAGCAAGCATTGAGAAAGCAATAGACTTAAAAAAGACCACCCTTGAGAAAGCGCATGGCTTAAGAAGGAGCAAGCCTTCAGAAAGCAATGGACTTACAAAAAAACCCCCATGAGAAAGCACCAGGCTTAAAAAAGAGCCAGCCTTCAGTAAGCACAAGGCTTAAGAACCAGCCAGCCTTGAAAAAGCAGTATGCTTTAGAAAGAGCCTCAAAAAACACTAGGCTTACAAAAAAGAGCCAGCCTTGAGAAACCACAATATTAAAGAAAATCCATAAATAGGAAAGTGTACGTCTAGGGAAAGCATCTACCCAGCTCATAATGGACATTGTATTTGAGAAATACATGAGCAGCTTATTTGGTATTTTCCCATTGCTAATATTAAGTTGCCAATCGTTTATTTGAATATCAAGATGCAAAAGCACAATGCAAATGTGTCTATAGAATCCTGCAGTGCATTTGCCTATCTGGTACACCCTTGAAGGGAAACTTTAAATATAATTTGACACAAACCACGGATAGCCTTGGAAGCATAGGGGAGGTGCCAAGCAATTTCCCTCTCCTTTCTAAAACCCTTAAAACGTCTCTCTCCTATATGACTTTTTCCATTGCCTTTTGCTCCCGAGCATCACATACAGTGATTCTTATACAGTAATGAAGTTACTTAAAAAGTAAGATCCTTCAATTGATGCTAACTGACTCGATTGATGCCAAAAAGTTTTGATGAAAGTAGAAGAACTTTTGTTCTAATACTGACCTTATCCTCCTCTTTTGGAGTATAGTTTGACAAGCTCTCAAGAGCCTCGTGTGCAATATCGAATTCCCTACACCTGTGCTCATATCTTCCTTTAGCCTGTAGAGGAAATAGCAAAGAGACATACAAACACATAAGAGACACAAGTCTCCTTAACAATCGATTTCTCAAACTATTTCAAAATGGCACACCCCTGTTCTCTACCTATTGAAGTTACCCCTAGGGACACAATAGAAAAGCAAACTATTATAGTTCATGATCAGCGGAAGAATGAAAAATTGCTGGGTATATACCCGAATCACTGGCATTTGTGGAAAGACCGCCGAAGACGAGAAAATATAAATTTTTTGACTAAGATAGCTTTTTGTGCTTTCATGTATTCCTTATGTTGTATGTTATAGAGAATTTTATTAAGGAAAAAATTGCAAATACAATCAGTAAGGCTTATCTATAATTATCAGCAAGGCTTAGCTGTTTGGAGATTTGTAACAGACACCTATAGCATTAGAGTTACCAACAATATATCATCTTATTGCACTACACCCTTCGTAAAAACCCCTCACACCTGAATTCGTTCCATCCTTGAAGAGAGCTGTCAATAATACTTATCCCTTGAACAAACCTCATTCTAGCATGTCAATTTTCGGATTATCATAAAGTAAAATGAAGACATGAAATTAACAAAGGTTTTTCAACATGCTTTTTACCAGGAAAAAGAGCTTTATGCATTCGACTTTCAATAAATATTCATAGACCTGCATCGTTCAAGCCCCCTCAAATAAGCCCCCATCTAAAACTTCCCCAATAGATAAGCTTCTAGGGGGCCAATTCAAGAATTTACGGTAATAGGAAAAGTTTGATTAAAAGAAGGATATTCAATAAAAGTAATTTAAATATGATGCAAACCCTAACAACACTTTCAAATGCATTTTTCTTTTCCTTCTGGACTCTCTTCATTTTCTCATCCATCTAAAAAGCAGCAAAAATTTAATTCCTGGAATTGGAATTCAATGGTGATAATGGAAGCATTTCCTTTCGCTGTTGATATATCTTCGGTCGCACAAACCAAACAGGGAAAACCAAACAATTTATTCTAGCCACAGCTTCACTACAACAGGAACACAGCCTTTTGATGCAAAGCTCTGCAATCAAAGTTGTCTCTGATTGGTTTAAATTGTTGTAAAGTGATATGTTTAGAATTGACTGTAGGTAAAGACTGTAGGTACATTTGCATAAGACAGGCACGAACCTAAGTGACATTGCGCATTGGTTGGGGTATCAGTTTTAACTCACACAGAAAGCCATATAGAGAAAGATAAAAAATCTTAGTTTTAGAGATTCGTTTTACCTCTCTTTCACTTAGCTACTACACGATTATTAAAGTTTGGGCAGTGAGTGAGGTAGCCATGCCATTCGACCTTTGAAAGCTACAAAAGGCTATACTGTTATTAAATCAGACAAGAAATCCAGACTATAGCAAAATCAAAACAGCAGTGACCTATTCCTGAAACACATTATAAGCGAACTTACTTCTGACATGCGTGTACCAGTCAGTACTAAGAGATTTTTAACTGCTCGCTTTTTTCTGTAGCCAGTTACTCACAAAACATTCCCCACAAAAACGCATACCGTTCCATGCATAATATAATTTTTCACCGTTGCATAGACCGTTAAACATCGGTATAGCTATGTCTTTAAAATAATTTATTTTCGAAATTGGTGCACAACTGCAACCGTACTGACGGAAGCAAGGTTATCAGCTGGCAGCAAGGCGACAGTTGAACCAGAATTGATACAGTAAAACACAAGGTTTCCTAGCATAGCACCACTAAGGGTTAGTGCAAAAAGGCTTCTTGTGTCATGCCAACAAAAATTACCTATATTGATAACATCTTTTAAGATACATAATGATCCAAACATAAAAAGTACTAAAAAACCAAGTAAAGTAAAAACTGTGCACTCGAGTTTTCGAGGGTACAAATAGGTACAAAAGCATTCGAGTGCATCGAAAGTAGATAGTAGCAAGCCAATATAATTTGTTATTAGCAAGAAGATTGGTTTTTTAAAAGTTGGAAATGAACTCACAACCTTTGAAAAACAAAGGGCAGACACACAAGAGTCTTTGAACACACCTTTTCTATACCTGTCTGTGGTATTATGTTAAACTACCTCAAAACACTTCCACATTCATCTCCTACACCCACTCCGCCCTCTCCCCCATCCCACCCCCCTCTACTGCACCCATAGATTGGTAAGGACCATACCGAGCTCTTTGCTTCTTAACATCAAGCCTTCTTTGTGCGAAATAGGTTTTCAGGTACCTTTATTTGTTATCATTAAAGTCTTGATGCAAACTAACCCTGGTCCTCTCATTTTTCTGATCATCACGAAAAGTTGCTACTTTTTTACCAACATCTTCAATCCTCTTTGACAGTTCACAATGTGATAAACCAATGCTTTCAGTTTCTGAAGAATATAAAGAATGTAGGCACAGTAAGAAGGTTTAATCCCATTTGTAGCTAAAGGATTTTTTTCAGCTGCTTAATTTAGCCTGGCTTGGATTTTGGAAATGTAAATGAGCTAAAAATAGGATGAAAAAGCAAACAAAGAATGTGATATCCTCATGCTAAAACATCTTAATAAATTTTGTAAAGTTGAACCAACATGTTTGTCAAGAATAAACACCAATATACATTTGTCAAGAATAAACATGTTACCAATATCACCAAATCGTCTTTCTATTGCTATCCTCTATAATTTGTTCAATTTGAATCTTAAATGCTCTCAATGTTAACAGCAGTTTTACATTGGTAACATTACAAAATTAATTCAGCTTGCTTTTTCCTTGTCTCTTCACCATGGTACATTTTTAAAGTTCTTGCCTCAATTTATTATCTACTGTACCTTTCTTCAAAATCTCAATACAGTCCTTCAGAGTTCTATAGAATAAAGTAAGACACAATTGTTAAAAACTTATAATGATCAGGGGTATTCTTTAGATGATTTCAGGAATATTGAGAGGTGAGCGATAAAAAAATATAAGGTAGCAATTTTTTGATAATTTGAAGCAAATGTCACACAAATTACTAGTGTTGCAAATAGACTAAGGCTTTTATTGCTCCATATTAAGCTTTCTTCTGTATAGACAGTGTGCATACAATAGTTGGTGAGCGAATATGTCAGGTAAAAGTGAAACATACCCAATCTCATCACTTGCTCCTGCCTGTTGGGAAATTCTCATCAATGCTTTACCATATTCATCCTCTGCTTTTGCCCTAAAAAATTTCAGGAATCGGTGGACAAAGGGAATGAATGTAGTGAAAATTGCTTTATAAAAACCGATTGAAACGAATGATCAGCAAATTAATTTTGCATTTCAAAAATTATTTGAGCATATTCAAGAACTTTAATAAAATGAAAAAAGTTTTATTTTCAAGATTTTTTCTTCAGTTTCATTCAGTGCCAAATCATTATTGAGAAATGATATCACCTATAGGAAAATCGTTACCAGGAAAACATTTTTAAAGTGGCAATCCTTTTGCGATTTTGAACATTATAAAGGATAGAAAATGAGAAAAAAAATTATACTTAAAAACTCGTCGGTTCGTCGGTGCAGTCAGTCATAGCAAAGGTAGATTGTTTGCCTGAATGGTGAATACTTTAGCAAAATAGGTTTATCAGCACAGTTTCTGAGCCAGGAGAAGTGGAAGGGGGTTTGTGTTGTACTTAGCCTAAATGGTTTTCAAAAATCGATTTTAACAGTACACTTGATATTCTGGGACTTAGCTCATTCATGATGCATTGCTGCTTCCCTTTTTCTTCCTGCTTCTTCCAGTATTTGACACTATTACCGGCAGAGGCATTCTTTTGTTGTATTTCAATTTACCCTTTCACACTTATCTCACCAGAAAAGGATCTAACTGGGATTATCATAAACAATGCGGGAGCATCTTTGATGTCAAACCCCTTTTTTTGTGTGGCAACTTTGTTTCCCCTTGTGTGCTTCTTTCATAGCCTTGCAACGAACCCAATACAAAATTTCCTTTGCATCAATACTTGTAACACAATAGGGTAATCAATGCCTACCTCTCTGTATTTTCTCATATCATCACAACCACACTAGCTCTCTCTTGTATTTTTTGCTAATTTAAGACGGTCAACATTTTCATGATGCATGTACACTTAGTATCTTAAATTAAACAGTGTTTGAAGATGAATCCAAGATCATAAATTCTTTATTCAATTCACAGTCTGTAAAAACTGAACATTTTTGAATGATCATTCAAGTAGTTTGAAAAATGGTAATATTTCAGTGGACACTTTTAAGAAGAAATTTACAAAATTTTCTATTCTATTGGTAAGGTTGAAACTGAATGTGACAAAAACCAGGACGATAGATTCATACTTATTTAACAGCTATGACCTCTTTTGATAAACCAGTAGAATAGATCAATGAGGAAAAGAGTAGTTAGGATTGCAACATGCTCTTACAGGCACCCAAAGCGTTAAGAAAAGTGGGGGGTCTAAAAAAGTGGGGGGGGGGGGCTAAAACCGTATAAAAGAGGCTTTTCTGGTAGCTTGATACTTGATATTTGGCATTTTTTGGAAGTGGGGGCTAAAGCCCCCTAGCCCCCCTGCTCCGCGGTGCCTGTCTTACCTATATATTCAATATGTGATTAGAAGCTATGTTGAAAAGACTAAATAGCAATATTCACAAAAGCTCTAAATCTTATACAGGTTTAACATTAATTCAAACACAAGTGGGACAAACAAGATCAAAGAAAACCTCACCTTTGCTTAAGAAATTCTACGAGATCATCACAAACTTTTTTACCATCTTTAAGCCTTTTGATGATGGTATCATATCCTGCAGTACCAGTTGGGTCTTTATCCTTTGAAATGAAACAAGACACTAAAGCCAGGTAGACTAACTCCCTTGCACAAAAGAAACTGCTTTTAAAAAATTATGAATGAGTTAACTGCAAAAAATGCTTCATTCTACAAATGCCAATGAACCAAAATAAGCAGAAAGAGAGTCAGGAAAAAAGCAATATGACACCAAGAATCCAAGGTGGTGAGATACAATTTCAAATAAATTGTTCCATCTAGCAGTTTTTGAATCCATCTACATAGACATAAACAAAAGCATAGGTTTGTTTCAAAATGTTTGCTTTTTTTAAAGCCATTTTGTAAATTATGTACAAAAAAGATTGTTTGGTGAGAGAATTGTTATTTTTTGAGTTGTGCAAGCTTTACACGAACTAAAAAGTCTGTCCTTCTAAATCCTTTGTGCAAGGGGGGTGCCTGAGCCATGGTTAAGGCATTATTTATAAATTGAAAGACATAAAACAGGATATACGTTGATTCTAAGACTATTCAAAAGCAATCAACAGATACTATGGGGGGCTTAAGCCACTTGTGACTGCCTTTAAAGTACATTCTATGCGTTACTGTGTTAGGAATAACTCAACAAAAGAGTCTGTATTGGTGTTTACACAACTAGTACTGTCATTGAATGACTTTGCAGTACAATGCTATAGAATATATTCCATTCTTAATACGGAATTCCTTTTTTATGAGGTTCCCTTAGATATCAAGGAACTTAGGCAATTTGCCCCCTTGTCCCCCTCTCTGGGGCCCTGTTTGTGAGATCATGTTTTTGGCCTTTTTAAACAATACTTTTTTTAAATTATATCTTTATTTGCTAAATATTTAGGAATTTGAATAACGGGTAGTGATAGGTAAGCATAGTCAACTCTAAATCTTGAATTTCCCAGAATTGTTAAATTGATGTAAACAGGAGGAAAAGTGCCGGACAAATTATGCACACAGTCAACAACCACTGAAAAATTTGATGTACACCCCACTCAAATGTGCACACTTATTACAAATGCAGTCTTGCACTGCCGGGTAATATCTTGTGCACTCTCGAGATCTTGTCGAAAGCTGCCATGAAATCCAGACCGGCCCCTGCCTGTGATGGCGTGGACCCTGGGGATGGTTGAAAGTTTCAACTCAGAGTTTCATGATCCATTTTATTAAAAGACAACGTGGTTCTACATACAAAAATGGATAGATATCTAGAATTTAGAGAAATTTTTCAAAAAAACAACGAAACAGAAACAGGAACAAAGAAACTTTTTTATCAATCTTTGTCCATATTTTCTTAGGGAACTCATGAACAATAAAGGCGGGATCTTAGCCTTGAATTTCACCCTAAAAGTACAAAAGACTTACAAAAACTTACCCAAAAACTTTCAGCAAAACGGACCATTTTGTAAAAATCTCACAGGTTCTTTCTCAAAATTTGTAGGACTTGCACTTTGCTTCAAATACCTCGTTTCGATCTCGAGGCGACCATCATGGCTCGGACAATGATCAGTGGGCTCGGAGCGCAAGCAAATACCGGAGCAAGCAAATACCGGATTCCAATCAAAAAGCATAATTTTTTAACAGCAATTTTTAATCATTTAAAGAGGTGAATGAAGCCAAAAATGACATTTTGTCATATTTTTCGCTGTTTTATCGTGTTTGAGTGTTTAAGTGAATATAAAGAATAGTCATGGACTGAAAAGCTAAGAAAGGGCTGATGGCATTCAACCCCAAGGGTTTGAGAAAGCACTGGAGGTACCATTTCATTCACATATAAATAAATAATTTAATGGCATGACAGTGCTTGTGAAAAATGGTTTAGTACCTGAGTATTGATATTGTGTTTACAGAAAGTCTTAGCTTTGGATTGAAAACAAAAGGAATGGATTTTGTGTGTCAAAATGTGTATTCGCTCGGTCAATCAATCAAACAACATATGGTGTCAGAAATATTACAAAAATTTTACAATCCTAAAAAACTGGTGCCTTTGGGCTAGGGAAAGAACCAGAATTGATGGGGAAAAGAGTACAAAAACTTAATGTCACTCAGTGGCGTAGCTAGCCAAATAGCAGTGGTCATGCCCTCCCCTCAAATTTGAAAAAATATGGGTGTCGCCAAATTTGACCACGCCCAATTTTTTAGTTGATGAATTCCTTTTGGAAATTTTAATTTTAAGGCTTGTGACTTATAAAAAAATTGTGATTAACTTTTGGAATGAGCTTTCCTTATTTCATAGCAATCATCTTGTTACACTATGAAATTACCTTTATCTTATAGCTGTGACACTGTTTTGGTTTGTTGGTAATTTATACAGACAGAGTTCTGACAATTTCCAAACAGAACTGTACAAAAGACATTAAAAAAACATTAGTTTAGTATAGTAGATAAACTTAGCTTAAATTAAAAATTGTTTTGTTCTCCTAATCTCTTTCAATTTGCAGGCTGAAATACATTTGTAAATTTTAGAGATAAGCTAAAATTTGTATATGAAACAATAAATCACATGAAACTGAATGGGAGCTTTTTGGTCATCTTTTCCACAAATAGTCTTATTATCAATCTGTTGAAGATATTTTAAAGCCATCACGATTAACTAACAACCCCAATAGAATTGATAGATGAATAAAACAAATTGGCAAATGAATATCCAATGTATATATTGATATGAAATATAGGAAGCTAAAATAATGGATAGGCCTAGTTGCAAAATGTTTTCTGCAAAGTTAGACTTAATAGAAAAATACCTTGCAAAATAAGTTTAGCTTAACAAAAACATTGATGTTTCCACATATACTTGTGGTAAATATCCACATGATTGGATTGTCCTTACTAAATCTAGCAAACAAGGGTTGTAAATGAATAATTTGATCTTGTAAATTTTCAAATACATCAAAAGTTGTAATAGTGAAATAAAACTGTTTAACTAACAAGATCAGTAACACGCTTGACTTGTCTCTGGTCATTTTATTTCAACAGCTATAAGTAGTAAAAAGTATTTTTAACTAAAAGTGAAGTCAGTAGAGCTTTGAGTTTGACTTTAATTGTGTGTAAAAACAGTGTTATTGCATGTGATAATAAACAAAAAATTGAAGAATAACTTTAAGCAAGTTCTGGCATTCCCTATCCATTAACTACAATCTTATTGTCCTAATCATAATATGGTAACAATGCTTTTAAAGGGCTTAACAGTTTCTGAATATGCTGCTAAATGTCTGGAAAGTTTAAGCTCTCAAATCTGTTGGTTTGGAAAATAACACTGTTATCTCCTCCATCCATCTCCAGTGAACAGCATCAAGATTTGGCATTCACTAAATCAAGAAGATTCTCTGCAAATGTTCAACTAGTAACAATTGATTACTGAAAAGGCTGAGAGTTTGGTTTGGTTGCATAAAATGATCCTGCTCGCTGATTTTATGTCCAAAATGGTCTTTCGTGCCTGTCACTTCTCCACATAGTGCAACACCATTAAGGCTGAAAACCCCTGTCGTTGCCATAAAATGTTCTGGAGATTAACATGAGTCGTGGCTGCTTGGCAATAAGCTTTTGTTTGCATTTTACTTACAGAGAATTAACTCCCAGCTCGTGGATCTGCAGCTTATTGCATAGCAGCGCCGCCATCGATGCCTCGCATTCGCGTTCACGAAATAACACAGGACGGTTCTGATGATTATAATGATGGTCATGCCTTCTCGAAATGGCATGACTAGCCTTTGTTCTCTCCTGCGTCACTCCTATTGTTAGGCATGACCAAACATAGGGAACCAGCGTTATGGGCATGACTAAAACACAGGGTTTGGTCATGCTCATAGTTATGGGCATGACTAAATTGGAAACCCTCTGTTTTAGTCATGCCCGACAATAGAAGAGCGCCTTCGGAGGGCTCCATATTCTTGGGTGGAACCATAGGGCTCCAAAGGCGAATGGCCTGAGCTATTTCATCAGGAGAATAGGACTTTATTCTTACGAAAATATAATTTTTTGAAAAATGTTAACTCTGAAAATAGATGGTCATGCCCGGCATGACAAGCATGACCGCTAGCTACGCCACTGAATGTCAGAAAGAGAGGAAAAAGAGAAAGAGTCAGCTTGCAATTTCCAATGGATTTATGTATGAAAAATACCTCAGTATAACATTTTTCGACGATAGAAAAACTGTTGTACACCAAGAAAAAAAGAAGGAAAAAGATCTAGAATTCATAAACAGCTAATAAACTTTGATATATTTTGCACAGCTAGAAGAACTTTGAGTCTATAAACCAATTGATGTCTTTCCAAGTTTATCAGAAGGATCAAAAACATTATCGATTCTTTCCTTGCAATTTTCTCAAATCATTGTGGCTGAAATCAATGAATTTGAGACAACTACTAGAATTAAGTAGAACTATATATTTATAAGGGCAGGAAACACATTCCAGTCATAAGATTTGCTTCAACCTCTAGTACTGAGGAGATTTTAGGTAACTTTGTTTATAGAACCCTGTTAGGCGCAAATGCAAATTTCTTTTAGGGGGGTGTTCTTTGAAGGGACCGAGTTTTCGCCACGACAGACCGATTTTTGAGATATAGATATTGTCCGGGCCGCTCTCCAGGGCCGTCGCGAGGCAAGCCTTGTTGAGGAGGGGAGGAGGGTGGGGGGGGGGGTGGATAACAAATTTACCTGATTGAAATATGATTGCCTGAAATTATATAGTTGCTGTCACGAACCTCTGCAATATATTTGGTGAATCTAACTCTGTATATAATTCGCCACATATATTTTTATATGATAATAACGTACTTTCCTAACAGTTTTGTCAAATCTCTATATCGAAACGGGTAAAGGATATAGTCACTACCCGAGGCGGCACCATGGTTGCCGCCGAAGGAGGAGGAAATTTTCGAATTTTGATGCTTCCAGTTCCCTGGAAAATGCACTTTTTAAGCAAATTTAACTAAAGCAGTCCTCCTAACCCTATTGAAAATTCTTTCTTGCAAACAAATTGAACAGCAGCATAGTCTATTGAAAGGACTGGTTAGGAATGTCCAATGAGTCACGTGATTTATGTTGGAGCAAGCCCTTTTGGTGGTCACGTGACGACGAGCCTGCATCAACTCTGCGAACACAAAGATGGCGAATAGAAGCGACGAAATTGATCTAGACATTTCTGAATCACTGTGTATCTCTGAAATTGTGTTAGAAGATCAGGATCTTTTATTCGATGTCACTTTTATTTCCGACGAGGAGATACATGAGTTTATTGGTCTACATGATTTTGGTTGTGGTGAGTGTGGGAAAGAATTCAAGTCAAAGAAAGGCCTAAACATGCATTTGGCGAAGACGCACGGAAACACTTCAAATATAGCTATAGAAGAGGAGCAGTCATATATTTCCGATATCGATTTCTCTACTTTGGTAACTAAGGTCCTGCACAAAGTTACAGTCGAAGGGATCTTTCCAGAGGAGATCCGAAAAGCGTTCCCCACCGCACTCCCAGGAAATTTGTGCGGAGTTCTATCTGTGCTGGCCCAGAAATTTTTGGCTACAAAAAGTAAAGAGACTTTTTATGCAAGCTATTGTGAGGTAATAGCGAATTTGTATAAATAATCCCTCATCAAAAGCCGGAGCTTGTAAGTCTTTTTCTTGTAAAATTAGGGCCTGAACTGATCGCTTTGGCGAAAGAGAAGGATAGTGCAAAGAAAGATAAAGGCAAGAAGAAACCAATATGTTTCATAAAAGAGGAAGAAAGAGGGCCTTTGGCATATGTGATGGGTGCTGTAATATCAAAACTTTATAAAAAGTCAGCTTATGGTCATAGCACTTCACTTTGGAAAGAGCAAATTGAGAGCTTATTCACTGGAACTTTGCGTGTTCCCATTGAAGAAAACTCTTATTTATCCGAGCTTGATAGAGGGGGCCTTTGGAACCCCTCAGAAAAGCTGCTTAGGATTGCCGAGAAAATTGAAATGAAATTCCGTGTGGAGGTCCAGAAGAAAGCCAAAACAATTCCAATTAAAGAAATTATAAATGATGTGCTGAGTGACTCAACTGTTGTGTCTGTCTGGGATTCAATAATTTTAGATCATGAAGGTGCAGAGGTTGACCAAGAGTGTGCATGTCTTTGTTTACATAATATTGTTAAAATGTTTGTTAGAGTTAGAAGCTTTTCTCATGCAAAGGATATTTTTAAAAGTTATCAAATTGAGCAGAAACTGGCTAAAAAGCAAAAATCCCTAAGAAAAGGACTTAAACTGCAAGAAAAAGACTCTTCTGCTTGTTAACATTTGTTTCTTTACCTTTGTATATTACTTTTCAGTAGCTGAATTTTTTATTCTGCACTCATTTTAGACAATAACTTATCTTCTAATAATACCTACTGCTTTGTGTCTCAAAGGCTGCCTTAATGTTCCTTATTTTGTCATTACCCTCTTTCTTGTACAACTACTGGAGGGCTTGATAGGGAAGGGGGTACCAAAATATATACCTTTTTATGGTATACAAAATATATAAATAACAGTGTTCAAGAATGGTA